CAGACCCGTCCTGGTGAGAAGGAGTAACAGGCACACCTGCTTCCCCAAGTTGCCAAGGGCTCTCCCTACAGGTGGCATTAGTCACTTAGGCCAAAATCAAGGCTTACTTTTGCCTAAAAAGAGAAAAATCTATTTATAACACATATGTGAAGTTAACATGGGGTAGAATTATCTTGAAAGAAGGAAGGCACACTGAGGAAACCCAACAGGTTCAGACACTCAAGCATTTGAAATTCGTAACTCTCCTGCAAGTTAAGAGCTTTCCAATGGGATAAACTCAAAAGAAAAAGATACTGTTGCCTCTTCCAAAACAAGCAAAAGTCTACAAAGCCTCAGATGAGAATTATTCCTAAAACTGAAGAGAGTGATCAGAAAATATGCTTACATATACTTTATTTTCTCTAATAGTAAAAGAAAAACACTACATTTATGACTAAGTAAAACCTCCTCAACTAACTCATCATTGTCTAAAATGTTTCAGTAAAATTTTTCAATAATAACTCGGTTCTTGGCATCAGCTGTATCATTTCTTGCTTTGCAATCTCCCTCAACTTTTAATTCAAATGTAACTGTGAATTCTAAAACTCAAAATGGTATCACAAATTTTAGGAGAAAAGAGAGTTCACAAAGATGCCAGGTAAGTTAAAAAGAATTATAGAACTGGCTGTTTTTTATTTATATCACAAGTAAATTTGGAAAAATGTTATTTGATACCTCAACATAATAGATCAACCAACTTTTCTGAAAAATGAAATCCTACATTTCTTCCAAGAACTAGATACCTCATAAAATGAATCAAATTTAATTGTTTTCTATGTCCTCAGTCATTAAAAAGATTATCGTAATATAAGAAGTTTCCTGAATGGTTTTCTAAAATGACATTACACTATCTGGGAAAGAAGAAGAAAGACATAAATGAATCTGCTTTCAAGAAATTTACATAGTTTTGAACTCTATGATAAAACATTTTGGGGGGGAAGACTTTTCAAGGTTGCTAATTCACTGAGATCACTGAGAACAGAGAAACTTTTTAGGGAAGCAGTGTATTCTGCAACACAGACACTATGACCTCAAGATAGCTGCCCTGCCAACGTCTCAAAAGGAACACTATTTGACTAAGAGGGTCAAAAGCTGGCAAGACGTCCTGCCGGTTAGCAATCCTAATGAGGGCTGGGTTTTCTTAAGGTGCTGTAGACACATTCTTATCCTCAGCCTTAATAGAAAGTCTTTATTTTCTTAGTTGTCAACACTGGTAAAAACCACAGCAAGTCTGAAGGAAATCTAGAAATGGGTCCAAAGAATAAATTATGAGGCAGAAAACCGGGGGTTTATCTGCTTTCAAAGGCCTCTCACAAATGCCGGACTGGACGGAACTTTGCAAGAGGAGGAGAGAACCAACAGCTACTGTCCTGCGTCGGCACTGAGATTACTCTGACAAGTACACTCGGCTCCCTCTCTCTTGAAAATACTTTCAAAGAATGAAGAGACTAGGAAGATAGCAAATTTTTTTTTTTTTTTATGAAGGAAGGAATGAAATACAAGAGAATGAGAAAGACAATATTAGTCAGAAAAAAGAATACAATCAAATCACTTCTTTGCAGGTCTCTTTAATTTCTTCTTTTCTCTTTGAAAAAAAAAAAAGACTGAAGGAAAGAGCACTTTTCGCTGCCTGAAAAAGATGGACACGGTCACACCACAGGGAAGACAAACTAGCTGTATTTAACAGAAACAGGGTGGAGTGGCAGGAAGGCTGCGTATGATAAGAAGACAGAATTTGGCTAATTCTAAATAATCACTTTGTACGAATAAAAAGTATTTATATGTTCTTAAAATATTTGAAGAGTCTTACATTTAATATTAACAATACCTTTCTTTAATGTAACTTTTCCCACTGTCAAATATTTCAAGTTTTATCCCTTTTTTTGTTTTAAGAGACGCTAACTGGAGTATAGCTGTGTGATCACAATGCAAACTCAAACCCCTGGGCTCAAGCAATCCTCCCGCCTCTGCAGCACGGCAGCTCGGCAGCGGGCACCGAAGGCTCAGGCCCAGCTACTTTCCCTTCATTTCTTCTTGCCTCAGACTCCCAAAGTGGGAGGACCACCACACTTGGCCAACTCTGTGCTTTTAAAATAATGAACAAAAAGGCCTTTTTTCCTTCTCAATTG